CCACCTCCTGCATTTTGAGCCACAGGCCCTGCCCCAGCGTCACACTTTTGCTCGGGCTAGTCTTGAACTCCTGAACTCAAGCAATCCTCCCCCCTTGGCCTCCCAAAGTGCTAGGATTACAGAATGAGCCACCATGCCTAGTCCCCCCCCCCACCTTTTTTTTTCTGAAAGAGTTCACTCTGTTGCCCTGAGTCATGGTGTGCGTCATCATAGCTCACAGCAACCTCATGATTTTGGGCTCAAGTGATCCTCCTGCCTCAGCCTCCAAAGTAGCTGGGACTACAGGTGCCATCCACAACACCTGGTTAGTTTTTCTTTTTTCTTTTTTTTTGGTCCCTCAGTCACCCTGGAATTCAGTGCTGTGGTATCATAGCTCACAGCAACCTCAAATTCCTGGGCTTAATCGATTCTGTTGCCTCAGCCTCCCAAGTAGTTGAGACTACAGGCCCCTGCCACAACACCCAGTTTTTCTATTTGTAGAGCTGGGGTCTCCCTCTTGCTGAGGCTGCTCTGGAACTCGTGAGCTTAAACAATCACCCCTCAGCTTCCCAGAGTGCTAGGATTACAGATGTGAGCACCCAGACCCGGCCTTAATTGCTTAATTTCTTAACCTGTCCTTACCTCTCTACCACTGGACTCAAAGATTCTTAAAAACAGTGACTTATGTCTTTTTTGGCCGGGGCTGAGTTTGAACCCACCACTTCTGGCACATGGGGCCGGCGCCCTACACTTTTGAGCCACAGGTGCCACCCCAGAGTGACTATGTCTTAATTATATTTGTCCATAGCAACTAGTAGTTTCCACCACAGTGTAAATTTCCCGATAATTTTTTTTAAACCTAACAAATCTATTACATGCACACATGTACACAAGAGCCATACAAATAATGAAGTCTCAATATTTTTTAAATGCATGATTACCCCACCTTCTGTCTTTGTGTTAGCTGCATGCTATCTGCAATTCTTAGGGTGCCTCCTGTTCTTGAACATTCTATCCAAATATCATTCTCTCCAAAGATTGCCTTTCTTCTGCTCACTTTTTTCTCTTTTTTTTTTTTTTTGAGACAGTGTCTTACTTTGTCACTTTGTTGTCTTCAGTAGAGTACCATGGTGTCACAGCTCATAGCAACCTCCAGCTCTTGGGCTTAGGTGATTCTATTGCCTCAGCCTCCCGAGTAGCTGGGACTACAGGCACCTGCCACAACACCTAGCTATTTTTTGTTGCAGTTTGGCTAGGGTCAGGTTCGAACCCGCCACCCTCAGTATACGGGGCTGGAGACCTACGCACTGAGCCACAGGCGTCACCACTTATGCTCACTTTTGTACTTTGCACATTCTTATTTGTGATAGCCCTAGGAGACCTGTTCAAATAACACTATCAGGTAAAGCTCAGAACTTCCTTTTCTACACCTTCATGTAGATTTAATCTCACTTTTATCACTGTTTTATCTATTTGTTCTTTGTATCCCCTTTTCCATAAGGTAAAAACCTACTCAGGGATACTGTTCTATGCATCTCCTACTCTAAACAAATGCTTAATAGTAGGCCTCAATAAATGGGGTTTCATTGAGTGTTTATTGAGGCTCATGGTAATCTTAAATATTGCTGATCTTTTATTGTTGCTGGCTGGATGATCCAAGCATCCAGAACCCACCAGCTGCTATTCCCATGCTCCAGCACCACTAACTAGTCTCCAAGTGGCCAGAGTACAGAAGTTTCATTTTATTCTCTTTTCACTACCAGTTGTAGTCTTGCTATTATGCTTTGGCTGTTCACAGTCTGAGTGGAGATTCATATATCTTGGAAAAAAATCAGAAACTCAGCCTTTTTTCTTGGTATGATCAAAAATATTTGACACCCCTTTTCTCTTCTGGCAAGTTTCACAATTTTGCGTTCATCTTTTTAATTTTTCCCTCTTCCCAACAGGGAGAGCCCATTACCATTTTGTTCACTGCTGTATCCTCAGCACCTGGCACAATGCTGGACACAGAATAGAAGCTACCTGGAGAATGAATGAATGGTTAGTGAAAATAAAAACTGTTGTGGGCAGCACCTGTGGCTCAGTGAGTAGGGCTCTGGCCCCATATACCAAGGGTGGCAGGTTAGAACCTGTCCCCAGCCAAACTGCAACAAAAAGCCAGGAGTTGTGGCAGGCGCCTGTAGTCCCAGCTACTCTGGAGGCTCAGGTGAGAAAATCATCTAAGCCCAAGAGCTGGAAGTTGCTGTGAGCTGTGATGCCATAGCACTCTACCAGGACTACACAATGAGACTCTGTCTCTAAAAAAAGAAAATAAAAAACATAGTGAAGAGAAATGTTTCAGGAACAACCCTGCTGTGCAAGAAATTAAAAAGGTTTACTCCTGTAATCCTAACACTTTGGGAGGCCGAGGCAGGTGGATTGCTTAAGGTTGTGAGTTGGAACCCAGCCTGAGCAAAAGCGAGATCCCATCTCTACTAAAAAGAGAAAAACTGAGGCAAGAGGATTGCTTGAACCTGAGATGGAAGTTGTTGTGAGCTATGATGCCACAGCACTGTACTCAGGGTGACAGCTTGAGACTGTCTCAAAATAAAAAAAAAAAGGTTTATTTTTAAAAAATATTATGTTACCTATAATCCTATAGGTAGCATTCTGGGAGGCCACGGCGGGTGGATTGCTTGAGGTCACAGGTTCAACACCAGCCTGAGCAAAAGCAAGACCCAGTCTTTACTAAAAAATAGAAAAACTGGCTCGGCGCCTGTGCTCAGTGGTTAGGGCACGGGCCATATACACTGGGGCTGGCAGGTTCTAACCCAGCTGGGGCCTGCTAAACAACAGT